CCCTCAGCACATCCTGCACACCTCCGGTGGCTAAGCTGCAGGGAAACTGTGCTTTGCAACCTGGGGCAACAGAGGCTGCCCCCAGGCCAAGCTGCTGGGGAGATGGGAGCTAAACCACTAGCTCTCAAGTGGCAGGTTCCATACCATCGCCATCACAACACGCCTCCGCACTTTAATGCACCCCCGGGGCAATATGACCCTCAGAAGGGTGACCTGGGAACGAGGGGCAGCAGAGACCGCCCCCACGTCAGGCCTCCAGAGAGATGAGAGGTTATCCTCCAGCTAGCAATAGGCAGCCCCCCTCTCCTCTCCACTCCATGATCTCACCGCGCCCACTTCCCAGGAGCAACCTGACCGGGTGTGGGGTGTCAGGCGAATCTTTGGCGGGAGAGGCCGTCCCCAGGCCAGGTCAGGGGAAAGGAGAAGTGGCCCCAATAGGCCGTCTCAGCTGCCTCTGCCCCTCGACCGCATCGCGTCCGTCTCCCAGGAGCAAGCTGACCTGGAGATGGGCATCCGGCTTCTTGGGCAACAGAGGACGCCCCCAGGATTGGCCGCGGGGAAGGGGGAGCAAATTGACAAGCTCCGTGCTGCAGGTCCTCTACCCCCACCGTCGCCACCCTCGCACCTTAAAGGCACCGCCCAGGGCGCCCATCCCCAGCAGGCTGAATGGGACAGGTGTGTCTGCTGATCTGGGGCAGGAGAGGCCACTCCCACACCAGGCCATTGGGGAGACGGGAGCCAATCCACCAACTCCCCAAGGCATCCCCATCCCCCCACATCAGCCACCACTCCTGCCCCCTGAGCTCACGGTGGCCTCCTCTAGGGAGCAGGCTGACCCGGAGATGGACGGCCGGTGAACTTGGGGCAACAGGGACCGCCCCCAGGGCAAACCATGAGGGGAAATGGGAGCAAATGGACCGGCTTCATGGGAAAACCCGCCGCTGGTACCACCACATCCAACGTACCACGCCCGCCTCCCGGGGTCAGGCCGACTAGGATACACGTGTCCTGTAACCCAGGGCAACAGAGACCACCCACAGGGCAAGCCGTGGGGAAGATGGAAGCAAATGAGCCCGCTCCCCCGTTGCAGGCCCCCGACCGCCATCACCCCTGCACCAGGACTACCCTGCCCTCCGCCCCCAGTTGGCTAAGTGGGACAGGGGTGTCACGGAACCTGGGGCAGCAGAGGCTGCCTGAAGGCCACGCGGTGCAGACATTGAGCTAATCCACACGCTACCCCGGGGCAGCATCCCTATCCCCGCAGCCACCACCTTACAAGCTCCCTGACTGCACCGCACTCATATCCCATTATCAAGCTCACCTGGAGTCGGACCTCAGGCAAATCTCCGGCCGCAGAGGTCGCCCCCAGGCCAGGCCACGCGGGAGAGAAGAAATGGAGCAGCTCCTTGGAACGGCCCCCCTCCCCCTGGCGCCGCTGCCCCCGCCTCTCAGGAGCAAGATCACCTGGAGGCCGACGACCCGCCTCTAGGGCAGCGGAGGCCACTCCCAGGCTCCACCGCGGGGGACGGCGGAGCGAATTGACCGGCTCCCCCGTGGCAGCCCCCTTACCCCCGTGGGCCCCGCACCTTAATGGCACCGCCTCCACTCCCCACTCAGCGAGCTGAGGGGGCAGGCGTGTCCGGCGACCTGGGGCAGCAAGGCCGCTCCCAGGCCCGGCAGATGGGACAAGGCAGCTATTCCACCAGTTCGCCAGGGGCAGCCCCGCTCCGCCCCTCTGCCGCTGCCGTCGCCCCCTGACCTAAACGCCCCACCTCCCAGGGCAAGCTTACTTGGAGTCCAACATCTGGCGAATTTCCGGTGGCCAAGGCCCCCCCAGTCCAGGCTGCAAGGAAGAGAAGAAATCGACCGGCTTGCCCGGGCAGCCTCCCACCCGCCGCCGCCGCCGCCGCCGCCGCCGCCGCCCCAAACCATTGCACCAGCCTCCCGGGGTCAGGCTGACTGCGAGGATGTGCACTTGCCTTCTGATCCTGGCCAAGTGCCTGAGCAGCTCCCTGCACCCCTACACTCTCTGTACCTCTGCACCCCTGCCACTCTGCACTTCTGCATTGCCTGCACTCTCCACAGCCCCTGCACCCCTGCCACCACTTACACTTTTGCACTGCGTAAACTCCTGCACCATTGCATTGTTACGGAAATGACAGGCCAGCCAAGAAACAAGCACCACTCGGAGGGTTGGAGTATTCAGATTTATTACGCCGGCGGGCTCAGAGGGGCTTCTGCTCCGAAGCTCTGAGCACCTCCAAGACCTGCACATGAGGTTTTATAGGGTTAATTACAAGTATGGGGCTATTAGCCAATAAGGCTCAAACAACAAAAAGCAAGGAATCAGTACACTGAAGCTTATCAATTTGGAACAGATCACGTTACTGACACTTATTGTGCTTGGATTTACGAGTTAGCTTGTTAGCCCAGTAAACTGACACTAAACTTTGGATTTACAAGTTAGCCGGCAGAACTTATATCAGTAAACCGACACTTATCACACTTAGATTTGTGACTTAGCTCGTTAGCCCAATAGACTGACACTAAACTTTAGATTTATGAGTTAGCCCAGCAGAACTCAGATCAGTAATCCGACACTTGTTGCACTTAGATTTGTGACTTAGCTTGTTAGCCCAGCTGGGCTTTTCTTTCACAGCATGTCCCACACACCACCTCTTGGGCCTGTGGCAGAGACTCTGCTGTTAGACCAATGCACAGGGATTCACATCTTTGCCAGTATATGATGCATCAGTGGACGTCTGGGGTTGGCTGCAGGAAGGTACATGTTCCCGGTCACTAGCCTGGGCCACTAGGGTGATCTCTGTGAGGTCACCAAGGACGGGCTCAGAGATGCTGTTCTCTGGGAAGAGAGGAGTTGAAACCGCTCTTGAGGGCAGAGCTGTGCTCACCAGGTCGTCCACGCTTCATGTTTTACACAGGGCTTCGGAGAAGTGAAATGGATCTGGCCAAGACTGGCCTGCTGTGCGCCCACCTCAGTCCTGGGCTCTGAGGCAGACCGACAGGCTCCCACCCTCAGGACCCAGTTTGGGCACCTG